AAGATTTTTGTTTTGATTTTCGTGAAGATTTTGTTTGTATTTGATTTTTTTTTGTTTTTTGTCAAGAATTTGTTTGATTTTTATTTTCTTCAAGATTTTGTTTGAATTTCATTTTTTGTTTTCCTCAAGATTTTGTTTGATTTTGATTTTTGTATTCGTCAAGATTTTGTTAAAATTTGATTTTTGTTTTCCTCAAGATTTTGTTTTAATTTGATTTTTTGTTTTCCTCAAGATTGTGGAAGAATTTGATTTGATTTTGTCAAGATTTTATTTGATTTTGATTTTTTTTTTGTGAAAATGAAACCTATTCCGGAAGATCTTAAAAACAAGCTGTGGGCTTGCCGTCGAAATATCACCATGTTGCCAACCAGACTTTGGAATAAAGATCGTACACTGTTGTTGAAGAATGAATTAATGAATTTTCATGATCAATTGGTCGAATTATTAGATCCTGATGAAGATGTTCCAGATGATCTATTGAAGATAATGACTTTATATTCTGATCGTATTAATGATTATTTGAAACGATTCGATTCACCGGAAGTTAATAATAGATCTGAAATGAATAATGATGTGGTTCAACAAATGGAACAGCTATCTTTGAATTCTTCGATCACCAAAATAAAAGTTGATCAATTACCGACGTTTGATGGCAAATTTTCAAATTGGAAGGCTTACAAAGGTATGATTGAAAATTTGCTAATAAATAATATTGCATTGAATGAAGATTTAAAAAAATCGATGTTATTGAAAACAATGACAAATGAACCGGCCCGTATTGTTAGTATTTTGATTGGTCAACAAATGTCATTGCCGGATATTTGGAATAAAGTATGTGAAAAATTCGATGATCATCAAAAAGCGATTTTAGAAATTAAAAATGAATTGAATTTAATTCCCCGAATTGATAACGAAAATCAAACATTGAACTTGAAGAAAGCGAAAGACATTGTTGAAAGTGCTGATTTAGCGGTAAAGGGTTTGGATCTTGATACATCTTTTTATACGGCGAATTTAGTCCAAGCTGTCGCAAATAAATTTTACTATCGTGCGAAACGTAAAATGTTGGTTAAAGTTAAAAAGTTTGAAGATTTAGTCAAATTTATCGATGAATTGTACGAAGATGCTGTCCGATATGATTATAACAAAATTGAAGATTCTGATGCGTCTGGTAAGAAAAGAGAAGAATTTCCCCGTAAAACTTCTACAGCTGCTATTGCCACCAGATTTTGTTATATATGTGGCAATAGTCACCAGAGCACGTTTTCATGTTTCGATAAAAAAGATCCGAAATTTATTGTTGATGTTATTCGATCTAAAGGATTATGTATTAAGTGTCTTCAACGTGGACATCTTAGTAAGGATTGTACTGTTTTCTTGGAAGATAAATGCAAAAAGTGTGATAATTATCACGCAACCGAAATGCATGACGTATTGAATGAATTGTTTCATACGAAACCCAAAGAAATTGCTAGAAACGATATTTCATCATCATCGGAATCTTCATCATCAGAATTATTGAATAGTGATTCATCGGATAGAGGTTCAGTAGCCGCTATCACTTATCGAAATTTGTCTAATGTATTTGATGCCAAAAGAAATGGTAATTTTGAAAATCGTCCAGTGATTTATGGAAAATGCAATGGAAAAGATAGTGTCATATTGTTGGACAGTGGATCTAATATTTCTGTGATTGATCATGATTTGTTATTAGATGATCAGGATAATCCGGATAAAAACTATTCGATATTGGCAACATCGCCGCTGGGAGAAGCCAAAACCAGTCATAAGAAAGTGGTTTTGAAGATTCGAGGCAATCCCTATGAAATTTCAATTGATTTGTTCGCAATGAAAATGTATGAAAAAAATTTAATCATTATTGGTACTGATAATTTAGGATTCTTTTATAAGAATCAACCGAAAGTGCTATCAATCCCCACGATTTTTGGTGTCATCAGTTACCAGGCACGAAAGGATTGTAGCTCAATCGAAATGAATAAACCAGCTGCTCTTGAAAATGTTTTCGAAATTGATGAATTTAAGAATGAACAATCATCTACACCTGTAGAGGAGTTGCTGAAACCGGAATTGAAAAAAGATCTGAATTTCGACAATGATGATTTGAATAACGATAGAGATGAAGATGATAATATTCAGATCAAGCGACGAATTGATCAAGTGATTGGTCGTTTTGAAACTCAATTATCGATTTTATCCGATCAACGTCCGAAGAACAACTTTGATAAAGTATCTATTGTTGAATCAAGACTTCTTGCTCCATATGAATTGGGCAATGTGTTGTACCGAATTCGCGATGTTTTTTCTTCCCGTGATGCAATGCGTTTTGATTCGATGTTTAATGTACAACGTTTTGGCTCGTTTTCTTCTATCAAGAATCTCGAATTAGCTGATCGTGTTGATGACTTGAAAAAATTGAATTATTATTTGATGATTTTTGTGGATAAGTTATTTCCTCTAGGTAATACATCAATGAAAAGTTGGAATTTGATCTACCGATTTTATCGTAACCGAAAGAAAATGATTTACGATAATGAAATTTTTAGCAAATTGGATAACCGAAAATTTGAATGGATATTTTTTCCACCTGGTGCATTCGTAATTGCATACGGACGACAACAACCGACAAACGTTGATGTTTTGGAAACAAATGGAATTTGGCCGATTCGTTTGAAAGTTTTTCGATTTAAATTTAAAAGAACTGGTATTCATGATTTAGTGTCTTACGATCGTATTTTCAGATGTAATTTATGGCTAATCGTTTTATTAGATGACAACGAACTGATATTCCCTTTCCGCGCCGGGAGTGTCATGAAGCAAAAACATTCTAAAATCAAGTTCGATGTTCCGAACTTAAATCTTTGTTCTATTCGAACTTTTGTGCTATTCGAACTTTTGTTCTTAATTGTTCTAAAATATTTTTAAGTCATTCGGTGTTTAGAAGCGAATCATGAATAAATTATTAGATTTTTCAAAAAACTAAATCACGTGTTCGCTAGATTTTTTGCATGTTGT